ATCACAGTCAACACTGAGACAGAAATCTGTGAATATGAATATTTGATGTCTGACATATCACAGTCAACAATGAAACAGAAATCTGTGAATATTTGATGTCTGACATATCACAGTCAACACTGAGACAGAAATCTGTGAATTTTTAATATCTGACAGATCACAGTTAACACTGAGACAGAAATCTGCGAATATTCAATATCTGACAGATCACAGTCAACACTGAGACAGAAATCTTGAATATTTAATATCTGACAGATCACAGTCAACAGTGAGATAGAAATCTGTTAATATTCAATATCTGACAGATCACAGTCAACACTGAGACAGAAATCTTGAATATTTAATATCTGACAGATCACAGTCAACACTGAGATAGAAATCTGCAAATATTTAATATATCACAGTCAACAATATCTGTTAATACATATTACAGTCAACACTGAGACAGAAATCTGCAAATATTTAATATCTGACAGATCACAGTCAACACTGAGACAGAAATCTGTTAATATTCAATATCTGACAGATCACAGTCAACACTGAGACAGAAATCTGCGAATATTCAATATCTGACAGATCACAGTCAACACTGAGACAGAAATCTTGAATATTTAATATCTGACAGATCATAGTTAACACTGAGACAGAAATCTGTGAATATTCTATATCTGACATATTACAGTCAACACTGAGACAGAAATCTGCGAATATTCAATATCTGACAGATCACAGTCAACACTGAGACAGAAATCTTGAATATTTAATATCTGACAGATCATAGTTAACACTGAGACAGAAATCTGTGAATATTCTATATCTGACAGATCACAGTCAACACTGAGACAGAAATCTTGAATATTTAATATCTGACAGATCACAGTTAACACTGAGACAGAAATCTGTGAATATTCTATATCTGACATATTACAGTCAACACTGAGACAGAAATCTTGAATATTTAATATCTGACAGATCACAGTTAACACTGAGACAGAAATCTGTGAATATTCTATATCTGACAGATCACAGTCAACACTGAGACAGAAATCTTGAATATTTAATATCTGACAGATCACAGTAAACACTGAGACAGAAATCTGTGAATATTCTATATCTGACATATTACAGTCAACACTGAGACAGAAATCTGCAAATATTTAATATCTGACAGATCACAGTCAACACTGAGACAGAAATCTGCAAATATTTAATATCTGACAGATCACAGTCAACACTGAGATAGAAATCTGTTAATATTCAATATCTGACATATTACAGTCAACACTGAGACAGAAATCTGCAAATATTTAATATCTGACAGATCACAGTCAACACTGAGACAGAAATCTTGAATATTTAATATCTGACAGATCACAGTCAACACTGAGACAGAAATCTTGAATATTTAATATCTGACAGATCACAGTTAACACTGAGACAGAAATCTGTGAATATTCTATATCTGACAGATCACAGTCAACACTGAGACAGAAATCTTGAATATTTAATATCTGACAGATCACAGTCAACACTGAGACAGAAATCTTGAATATTTAATATCTGACAGATCACAGTTAACACTGAGACAGAAATCTGTGAATATTCTATATCTGACAGATCACAGTCAACACTGAGACAGAAATCTTGAATATTTAATATCTGACAGATCACAGTCAACACTGAGACAGAAATCTTGAATATTTAATATCTGACAGATCACAGTTAACACTGAGACAGAAATCTGTGAATATTCTATATCTGACATATCACAATATTCAATATCTGACAGATCACAGTTAACACTGAGACAGAAATCTTGAATATTTAATATCTGACAGATCACAGTCAACACTGAGACAGAAATCTTGAATATTTAATATCTGACAGATCACAGTCAACACTGAGACAGAAATCTTGAATATTTAATATCTGACAGATCACAGTTAACACTGAGACAGAAATCTGTGAATATTCTATATCTGACAGATCACAGTCAACACTGAGACAGAAATCTTGAATATTTAATATCTGACAGATCACAGTTAACACTGAGACAGAAATCTGTGAATATTCTATATCTGACATATTACAGTCAACACTGAGACAGAAATCTGCGAATATTTAATATCTGACAGATCACAGTTAACACTGAGACAGAAATCTTGAATATTTAATATCTGACAGATCACAGTCAACACTGAGACAGAAATCTTGAATATTTAATATCTGACAGATCACAGTCAACACTGAGACAGAAATCTTGAATATTTAATATCTGACAGATCATAGTTAACACTGAGACAGAAATCTGTGAATATTCTATATCTGACATATTACAGTCAACACTGAGACAGAAATCTGCAAATATTTAATATCTGACAGATCACAGTCAACACTGAGACAGAAATCTGCAAATATTTAATATCTGACAGATCACAGTCAACACTGAGATAGAAATCTGTTAATATTCAATATCTGACATATTACAGTCAACACTGAGACAGAAATCTGCAAATATTTAATATCTGACAGATCACAGTCAACACTGAGACAGAAATCTGTTAATATTCAATATCTGACAGATCACAGTCAACACTGAGACAGAAATCTGCGAATATTCAATATCTGACAGATCACAGTCAACACTGAGACAGAAATCTTGAATATTTAATATCTGACAGATCACAGTTAACACTGAGACAGAAATCTGTGAATATTCTATATCTGACATATCACAATATTCAATATCTGACAGATCACAGTTAACACTGAGACAGAAATCTGTGAATATTCTATATCTGACATATCACAATATTCAATATCTGACAGATCACAGTTAACACTGAGACAGAAATCTGTGAATATTCTATATCTGACATATCACAATATTCAATATCTGACAGATCACAGTTAACACTGAGACAGAAATCTGTGAATATTTAATATCTGACAGATCACAGTCAACACTGAGACAGAAATCTGTGAATATGTAATATCTGACAGATCACAGTCAACACTGAGACAGAAATCTGTGAATATGTAATATCTGACAGATCACAGTCAACACTGAGACAGAAATCTGTGAATATTCAACATCTGACAGATCAAGGTTAGCAATGAGAAAGAAATCTACTGATATTTGATATCTAACAGATCACAGTTTATAAATAGACAGAAACCTGTCGATATTTGATATCTGACAGATCACAGTTAACAATGAGACAGAAATATATGAATTCATTAATTATTCTGGTAGATCACAATTAACACTGAGACAGAAAACTGTGGATATTGGTATCTGATATTTTGTTTGTGTGGACCCATTCTACATTTAAAACCATAAAATTGTTAAGATTTTAGCCAGTATCCTTATAGTTCAATATCAATGTTGTATTTAGCCAAGAGAAAAGTTTAGCACCTTGGACACTTATGACCTTTAACATGGGTTAAGGTCTTTCATATAAACAAACAAGCATCTTGGCCCTTGAAGGAGCAGACAGCTGTATGATGCAGTTTATGTGATAAATTGACTCTACCGTAATTATGGTACTAAATGGTGCTTTCAATTGTATGTCATTTAAGGATCCAATATTAGTATCCTGGGCCTTTTGGTTGGTTAAGAGAAGAAGCTGGTAAAAGATTTCAATACATTTGACCTGTCTGACCTTGAAAGTGGGCCATGGTCAATCATTTTATCAAACTTGGTCCCTGCATGCTACACCTCACCACAGGCCTAACATCAGTATTCCAGACCTTTTGGTTGTTGTGATGATGTCATTAGAAAATTTTAACACATCTGACCCCTGTGACCTTGAAATTGGGTCAAGGTCTACCATCCCAGCCAGGTACCCTTATATCAGAGAAGTATATCTTAAGATTTCAACGCATTTGAACCTAGAGACCCTGAAACTGGTTGAAGGTCAGTCATCTGAGCATGCTACTCTAGTATCAGCACCTTTTTATGGCCTTTTGATTATTGCAAATAACTTATTAGAAGAGTTTTACAAATTTTACCCCTGTGACCTTGAAACTATATCAAGGTCAATCAATTGAACTAATTTGAAAGTCATTCAAACTGAAAGACCACAGTTACGGTAACCATAGCAACAATCAATAAAGAAATTATACTTAAATTTTTCAACAACATAGGGTGCAGATAATCTATACGTGAATTCTCATTGAAATCTGCCAAGTCTAAACGGTCAGAATGAAAAAGCATACTGAGTATTGCTAAAGCCATATATGTCCTCTACAGGCTATCATGCTTTATAAAAGTGTGATGAGAATTCCTCAAGGGATGACATAGCTAGAACACTGACATTTATTTTCTAAAATTTGGTAAGTGACCTTGGCCAAACAACCCTGAAACTTGAACTTGTCAAGATCTTTCAATTGTTTGTAAGAGTGTGAAGTTTGATCAAAACCCTATAAGGAATAAAGGAATGCAGAAAATTTTCTAAAAGAGTAATGGTGACCTTGACCCAACAGCACTGAAACTCAGATATTTTAATGTTTTATGTCTGAGTGAATTTTGATGAAAATTCAGCATGGAATGAAGCTGCTAGAGTGCTGACAATGACAGTGACCTTGATCCAACAACCCTAGATGCCAATGCACAATATCATGATACTGATAAGTCCATTGATCAGTTAAAAATTCTAGGATTATTTCGACAATGCTTGAACTTTTACTTTTACCATTGTCAATGAATCAGTCAGAAAGGGACATAATTAGTAAATGATACCATATACATAATACTCATCATTATGGGGTAGTTCAGACATGTATACAAGTAAAGTTTCATTGAAATCCAGGATTATCTGTCTATGATAGTCTAGTAAGAGTTGTCCAAATAGCAGACAGATACATGGAAAAGCACCTCTAGCACCTCTTGTAACTTTGTTGTTGAGATATAAAAACTCAATTGAGTTGTAGACACACAAATTGCCACCCTCATCTGTCTTTTCTTGATAAATTTAAACAGTTCCATTAAAACTTACCTGATCCAATCACTAGTTTTAAGAGCATTTTTCAACATTGCACATCTGTGTTTGGCAGAAACCAAGCCCTAGAAATGAAAAAATACACACTTAATTCTCTTTAGTTTTCTTCAGCTAGCAATCAACTCATTATGGAAAATACAAATTAAAGAAACTCACAACCTGCTTTTCATTTCAATATCTATACAATATTTTTCTGAATAAGTCTACCGGTAGTAATTTGCAGTAAAGTGTTGAAAATTACTATCAGTGTATACTACACTCATCAGCTCTAATATCAAATGTGGGGTAAATGGGGTAAAGTAAAAATATAATCAAAATGGGAATCTCATTTTTGCTAACCTTGCACATCTGTAAATGGAATGAGCAAACATATTTTCCCTAGCTGGTAATGACCTTCTGGAAATTTAATTTCATCACAAATCAATAACTGTTGTCAAATATATCTCGGTTAGTCATATATGGAATCATGTATCAACTACTACATTATAATATACATACATAGTGTGCATGTATTAACAAGATGTACATACAATGTATACCTGAATAAAGCATCCCTTCAAATTTTCCAAACAAGTAGTTCAGTCTTAAATGTAGACCACCAAATATTACAATGATACATTATTTTCTGTAAAACACCTGGTTTGAAGTTAAGATCCGAATGGAAATGGGATTCAATTATAAAAACATTGCAAAAGTAGGTACCGGTACATAATATTCTTGAAGATCTTAAACCTTGTGGACTAACAGTGTAATTATTGTACACTACAGCTGCATGTATCTGCCCTTGAATACATACTCCCAGGTATTCTGTACCTCACTGTTGACTTTTCTACAGATGGCACTCTTTTTTTTTTTTCGTTTTCATCAGCCTTTGATTTCCGTGTTATGATGCCGAGGGTATAAATGATTTAGATCTGAAGGCTTTAATTCCCTCTGGTTACAAAGCAGATATCAGCTTCATCAAAATGCTTCAGGAAGCATTTCTATTAGATTGTTAATCTATTAAGTCATTGCACCAAGGACTATAATCATAACAAGATCTGCCGATGTTTATCTCTCTTGGATGACATAATGCTGACTTATTTAGACCAGACATGAATCAATTTTTCTACCATTTAAAGATTTCTTCCTTTCCTAAATGAAAACCTTTTAAGCAACATGTGATTTGAACTGCCCTGTGGGGCATGATTAAGCATTGATTTCAAGGTATCCTATAATAGCAGTTACTTGGAGCACTCTTATAAATACAGGGAATATGGATGTCTCTACATATGCCCTACAAAATATGATACCCAAAAGAGAAGGCAGTTTTGTGATATATTAGGTCATCCATAAGAGATCTTTGGTGACCTATCACGATATTATTCAGAAAACAACATGGCAACCTTCCAAACCAATTGTTGATTCCCATCAGATTTCTCGCCAATGTTACAGTATATAGCATTTCAATGTTATACAACTTTAGATAACATATCTGCAGTGCAAACCAAGCCATTTGAAATGGCTATCCTAATGGTGATCACCTCAGTTCAACAGTCAAACCAGTATCATTCTGTAAAAGGGCAAAACTGTCAAGTTTTGACTGTGAAATTACAGGTGAAATTCTCTATAGATTCAACTAAGTGAATTACACATGACATTCTGTAAAGGTTGAACTTTATGAAATTACAGGTGAACATTCACAAAGCAATTGTTGATAACAGTGTCTGGTTGTATGCCATGGGCACTTTAAACAAAAGTCTATAACTCTGTATATGACTTGAAATTGATATAATCACTAAAAAATGATTAAATGTAACTCCAATAGTGGCAATACTGTTAAATAAGACTAACAGTTTATCATGAATCTATGAGAGAACTTTTTCCTGTCATTTACCAAAGAAATCACCATGGTCATACACACTCTTTTTGAAGTTTTGATGGTAAGCTAGAAAATGTTTCCAGAAACATCAGCAGTATCAACCAATTCAATTTGATATCTAAGAGTTACATCTGAAGCACTTGTCAATGTTAATACATGCCTTTACCACAGGTCATCAGACCACATTGTGTATTGTTGGGTATATACATATGGCACATGGACAGATGAACTGGCAAAGTGTAGATGGATAAAAACAACATTGTATATGGTTTGGTATTACATATGGATGGATGAACTGACAGAGTGTAGATGGATGAACAATCACATCGTATATTGTTGTGTATAACATATGGATGGATGAACTGACTGAGTGTAGATGGATGAACAATCACATCATATATTGTTAGGTAGACGAAAGGTCAAAACCCTTTCACTGAACCTTGTGTTTGTAAATATATTGACTTTTTCTGATACAGTAAAATGTTCCTGAGTATGGTAGCCTAAGTGTCTGGCTCTTAATGTCCATTACATAACCAGCTGTAGGATCAATATGTATAGTGTGGTGGAGAACCAAGAGAGCTGATAAAAGACTATTACGTCTATCACAGTGAGCACTAACTTAAATTTCTTATGAAAATGTACTCACTAAATTTGGATTCTTTATCACAAATAATCCCATAGGGCCTGTATGGACTATAAAACTAAATACAATCTTTAACAAGAGGCCCAATGGACCTGCAGTGTTCACCTCCTATATATATACCGACAAAATATCATGCATCTAGGCCTTTTAGTTCATATGAAAAATTCACGTAAATGTTTTAACAAATTTGACCCCTGTGACCTTGAAGTCAAGGTCATTTCTTTTTGCAATCTTTGTCGGGATTCATCAAAGGAACATACCAGCCAAATATCAAAACATTTGGTCTGTTGGTTATTGAGAAGAAGTAGTTTAAAGGAAAAAGTTGATGCCAGATGCCAGGCCAGGTAAGCTAAAAACAGTGTTCTGGTATTTGTATATACTAGATTCAATTCAGCGTTTTACTGCTACGGAGCATCAATACTTTTTACTTTCTAAGTTAATTCATTCCTATCACATAATACATAAACCTTTCTCTCATTCACACAAAGCTTTCATTCAAAATAAAAATTACAAATGAACAAAACAACACCATAACACCATCCTGGGAAGCATACAACTACAAGATATTTGATATTATAAGGTCTATATCTTATCTAAACAACACCAAAACATCACAGCAGTACAATGACAAATAATTAGATGTTCTAGGGTCTATTAGACCTAAACAACACCATAACACCATCCTGGAAAGCATACAACTACAAGGTACTTGATATTATAGGGTCTATATCTTATCTAAACAACACCAAAACATCACAGCAGTACAATGACAAATAATTAGATGTTCTAGGGTCTATTTTACATAAACAACACTAAAACATCACCCAGTACAATGACAAATAATTAGATGTTCTAGGGTCTATTTGACCTAAACAACACTAAAACATCACAGCAGAACAATGACAAGTTTGGCTGTTCTAGGGTCTATTTTACATAAACAACAATAAAACATCACCCAGTTCAATGACAAATAATTAGATGTTCCAGGGTCTATTTTACATAAACAACACTAAAACATCACCAAGTACAATGACAAATAATTAGATGTTCCAGGGTCTATTTTACCTAAACAACACTAAAACATCACCCAGTACAATGACAAATAATTAGATGTTCTAGGGTCTATTTTACCTAAACAACACTAAAACATCACCCAGTACAATGACAAATAATTAAATGTTCCAGGGTCTATTTTACCAATTCACCCCAATACACCAACACATTACTGAATGTTCTAGAGTCTAATCTACCAAACAGATACATGGTATTGATAAGTTTTGGTTCCATATTAATGTCTGATTTTGTAACCTTGGTAACATACTAGTATATCTATGTTGCTATGTACATAATATTTAATAATGTGTTAACAGATGTTTCCTGTTTGTACCATGAAAGCATGAGACCAACCCCTGATCAATAATCCTTAACAATGAGCTAACGTAATCATTCTAAGTCAGTTTTTATCAAACATAGTCCAAGATGATGTTTGAATAATGACATTAATTTGTTTTTTTCCTAACAAAATACACACTGCATTCAGATTGCCATCTAACAGGTCAATAGAATCAGTCACATGACTCAGATCCTTCCTACAATCTTATAGACGGGTTAAACAAGCTATCAGTCAATGAGAATAGTCAGACAACAAGAGCAGAGTCTTGGTTTCTAATGACAGTAACTCAGTCGAAGATTTAAAATAGAGAGTTGAAAAAATTAAGTTGTCACTTAAAAGATGACAATGAGATTCTGGAAGTGATTATAAAGAAAATAAACATAAATCATTCTGTCAACAAAATAGCCACTAAAACAGATGGAAATGAAAGTTCTTGATAGCCATGTAAATAAAACATTTCAGATTTATGCATGAATTACATCTAGTAACAGAGAAACCCTATTTCCCAAACCCATGACTCTGTCCACTATCTGTCTGACCATGGACCCCACTATCTGTCTGACCATGGACCCCACTATCTGCCTGACCATGGACCCCACTATCTGTCTGACCATGGACCCCACTATCTGTCTGGCTATGGACCCCACTATCTGTCTGACCATGGACCCCACTATCTGCCTGACCATGGACCCCACTATCTGTCTGACCATGGACCCCACTATCTGTCTGACCATGGACCCCACTATCTGTCTGACCATGGAACCCACTATCTGCCTGACCATGGACCCCACTATCTGCCTCGCCATGGACCCCACTATCTGTCTGGCCATGGACCCCACTATCTGTCTGGCCATGGACCCCACTATCTGTCTGACCCCACTATCTGCCTGACCATGGACCCCACTATCTGTCTGACCATGGACCCCATTATATCCCCTATGAACCAACAGCTATGTAACTCAGATAATTTAGATGATAAGTTCCAACCAAATCAAAAATCCACTATAAAACTAGCTATATGGGTTCAAGTGCCATTGTCATTTTCTCTAAAATATAAGGATATTGATGGTTTACCTGATCAACCAAAAATTTCTGAGAAAATCTGCAAAGAAAAAAGTGCTGACAGACAGACAGTGACAGATTCAGGACTTACTATTTAACCTGTCTTAAAGGCCACCATTATATCTAGGTCATCTGTCTATAAAGGCCACTTTTTTTAGTTTACTATGCAATACAATACACATTAACTGAACCTCCATATAAAAGACACCTGTGTATAAAGGCCACTTTTCTCTGCTCCCTTGAGTGGCCTTTACAGATAGGTTTGATGGTAAGATTAAAGAACTTACCTTTTTTCCATAGCCATCACTGACTGGTGACATAATACCACCTATCACGCTATAACGGCCCGTTTTGTTCAATGTGTCCTTTGCTAACTCTGCAAAAGAAAAGAAATTATAATAAAAAGATATTTTCAAGCACTGTTAATCAATGGCTTACTCTTTGTTTAGCTATTATGAAGAGATTCACTATTAGTTTTAGTCAATTCATGAACAAAGAAAAATTGTATGATAAATAAACAATGTCACTTCAAAATTGCTTGAAAGTTTGAACCCTAAAATGAAAAATAATTTCATGTATACAGCAAAAGCCCTATAGGCCCTGTATTGCTCACCTGGTTTAGTTTGCTGAAATTGATTAATTCGAACTAAAGGAATAGGATCTTAAACACTTCTATTTATTTCCCCTATTGGCCCCACCCCTCCTGCCTCAATGGTCCAAGGGTCAGACACACCATTTACACAAATAGATTTCCCTTCAACCAAGCATGCTTCTGACCAAAGTTGGACAATATCCTGCAATTTATGAAAAACAAGATAGATCTTCCCCTATAAGACCCAAACCTGTTCTGTCCCAGTGGGCCACAACCCACTGTTTATACAAAACTGATATCCCTTACTGAAGAACAAGGTAGATTTTAAAGAAATATACTTATTTTGCCCTATTGGGACCCATCCCTCAGGTTCCAGATCCGTTGTTAATACAAATTGGTTTATCTTCCCCCAAGAATGTTTCAGACCAAATTTGGTTAAAATCTGCTCAGTTGTTCATAACTTAAGTCCAGGTGGTCTAAAAAGACAATTGTAACACTGCAAATGAGGTCATTACTCAATCCAATGCCTCCACTATCTAGAATCAAGCCCATATGGCTCTGTCTCATACTCAACCAACTGAGCTGAGATAACTGATTGGTATTATTTCATTGGCTAGTAGTTACAAAACTTACAGAAAAGAAAGGTGTTTTTATTTATAACAATAAAGGTAGCAATGTTAACCTGTCCAAGGTTTTCCCTGGGACCTGAGATATATATGACTGTACAAAAACATGATGCACTATTGTCTAAAATGCTGTTATGAAATCCAATATAACGTATTACTTTCTATCAAAGAACCACAACGTGGATTATTCATCAATGTTATATGAACAAAATATATCATATCATGATAACAGAATAATATATATCCTCATAGTAAAACAAGTCAACTACTACATGTATATATAACAAACAACTGTCTATATATCCTCATAGTAAAACAAGTCAACTACATGTATATATAACAAACAACTGTCTATATATCCTCATAGTAAAACAAGTCAACTACATGTATATATAACAAACAACTGTCTATATATCCTCATAGTAAAACAAGTCAACTACATGTATATATAACAAACAACTGTCTATATATCCTCATAACAAGTCAACTACATGTATATATAACAAACAACTGTCTATATATCCTCATAGTAAAACAAGTCAACTACATGTATATATAACAAACAACTGTCTATATATACTCATAACAAGTCAACTACATGTATATATAACAAACAACTGTCTATATATCCTATATAGTACTACATGTATATATAACAAACAACTGTCTATATATCCTCATAGTAAAACAAGTCAACTACATGTATATATAACAAACAACTGTCTATATATCCTCATAACAAGTCAACTACATGTATATACAACAAACAACTGTCTATATATCCTCATAACAAGTCAACTACATGTATATATAACAAACAACTGTCTATATATCCTCATAACAAGTCAACAACTACATGTATATATAACAAACAACTGTCTATATATCCTCATAACAAGTCAACTACATGTATATATAACAAACAACTGTCTATATATCCTCATAACAAGTCATGTATATATAACTACAATGTATATATAACAAACAACTGTCTATATATCCTCATAACAAGTCAACTACTACATGTATATATAACAAACAACTGTCTATATATCCTCATAACAAGTCAACTACATGTATATATAACAAACAACTGTCTATATATCCTCATAACAAGTCAACTACATGTATATATAACAAACAACTGTCTATATATCCTCATAACAAGTCAACTACATGTATATATAACAAACAACTGTCTATATATATAGTCAACTACATGTATATATAACAAACAACTGTCTATATATCCTCATAACAAGTCAACTACATGTATATATAACAAACAACTGTCTATATATCCTCATAACAAGTCAACTACATGTATATATAACAACTGTCTATATATCCTCATAACAAGTCAACTACATGTATATATAACAAACAACTGTCTATATATCCTCATGTATATATAACAAACAACTGTCTATATACAAGTCAACTACATGTATATATAACAAACAACTGTCTATATATCCTCATAACAAGACAACTACAACATGTATATATAACAAACAACTGTCTATATATCCTCATAACAAGTCAAACTACATGTATATATAACAAACAACTGTCTATATATCCTCATAACAAGTCAACTACATGTATATATAACAAACAACTGTCTATATATCCTCATAACAAGTCAACTACATGTATATATAACAAACAACTGTCTATATATCCTCATAACAAGTCAACTACTACATGTATATATATAACAAACAACTGTCTATATATCCTCATAACAAGTCAACTACATGTATATATAACAAACAACTGTCTATATATCCTCATAACATGTCAACTACTACATGTATATATAACAAACAACTGTCTATATATCCTCATAACAAGTCAACTACATGTATATATAACAAACAACTGTCTATATATCCTCATATACAAGTCAACTACATGTCTATATATATAACAAATGTATATATAACAAACAACTGTCTATATATCCTCATAACATGTCAACAACTACATGTATATATAACAAACAACTGTCTATATATCCTCATAACAAGTCAACTACATGTATATATAACAAACAACAGTCTATATATCCTCATAACAAGTCAACTACATGTATATATAACAAACAACTGTCTATATATCCTCATAACAAGTCAACTACATGTATATATAACAAACAACTGTCTAGATATCCTCATAACAAGTCAAATACTACAAGTATATATAACAAACAACTGTCTATATATATATCCTCATAACAAGTCATAAACTACATGTATATATAACAAACAACTGTCTATATATCCTCATAACAAGTCAACTACATGTATATATAACAAACAACTGTCTATATATATATCAACTACTCATAACAATGTCAACTACATGTATATATAACAAACAACTGTCTATATATCCTCATAACAAGTCAACTACATGTATATATAACAAACAACTGTCTATATATCCTCATAACAAGTCAACTACATGTATATATAACAAACAACTGTCTATATATCCTCATAACAAGTCAACTACATGTATATATAACAAACAACTGTCTATATATCATAACAAGTCAACTACATGTATATATATCTATATATCCTCATAACAAGTCAACTACATGTATATATAACAAACAACTGTCTATATATATCCAAGTCAACACATGTATATATAACAAACAACTGTCTATATATCTCATAACAAGTCAACTACATGTATATATAACAAACAACTGTCTATATATCCTCATAACAAGTCAACTACATGTATATATAACAAACAACTGTCTATATATCCTCATAACAAGTCAACTACATGTATATATAACAAACAACTGTCTATATATATATCCTCATGTATATATAACAAGTCTATATACTACATGTATATATAACAAACAACTGTCTATATATCCTCATAACAAGTCTATATATCCTCATAACAAGTCAACTACATGTATATTTAACAAACAACTGTCTATATATCCTCATAACAAGTCAACATACATGTATATATAACAAACAACTGTCAACAAGTCAACTACATGTATATATAACAAACAACTGTCTATATATCCTCATAACAAGTCAACTACTACATGTATATATAACAAACAACTGTCTATATATCCTCATAACAAGTCAACTACATGTATATATAACAAACAACTGTCTATATATCCCCATAACAAGTCAACTACTACATGTATATATAACAAACAACTGTCTATATATCCCCATAACAAGTCAACTACATGTATATAAAACAAACAACTGTCTATATATCCTCATAACAAGTCAACTACATGTATATATAACAAACAACTGTCTATATATCCTCATAACAAGTCAACTACATGTATATATAACAAACAACTGTCTATATATCCTCATAACAAGTCAACTACATGTATATATAACAAACAACTGTCTATATATCATAACAAGTCAACTACATGTATATATAACAAACAACTGTCATAACAAGTCAACTACATGTATATATAACAAACAACTGTCTATATATCCTCATAACAAGTCAACTACATGTATATATAACAAACAACTGTCTATATATCCTCATAACAAGTCAACTACATGTATATATAACAAACAACTGTCTATATATATATCCTACATAACAAACAACTGTCTATATATCCTCATAACAAGTCAACTACATGTATATATAACAAACAACTGTCTATATATATATCAACTACATGTATATATAACAAACAACTGTCTATATATCCTCATAACAAGTCAACTACATGTATATATAACAAACAACTGTCTATATATCCTCATAACAAGTCAACTACATGTATATATAACAAACAACTGTCTATATACATGTATATATAACAAACAACTGTCTATATATCCTCATAACAAGTCAACTACATGTATATATAACAAACAACTGTCTATATATCCTCATAACAAGTCAACTACATGTATATACAACAAACAACTGTCTATATATCCTCATAACATGTCAACTACATGTATATATAACAAACAACTGTCTATATATCCTCATAACAAGTCAACTACATGTATATATAACAAACAACTGTCTATATATCCTCATAACAAGTCAACTACATGTATATATAACAAACAACTGTCTATATATCCTCATAACAAGTCAACTACATGTATA